AATGTTATGACTTTTGACTAAAACATTGCTGATTTTCTTCTAGGCTTTGTTTTCTGGTTTTAAGGATTTTTGTCCTGTCTTGAGCTGCTGATAGGCTCATGTACCTACTATTTGAACAGAATCCTAATCTGTTTCCTGGCTTTAAGTTTTAAGCAAATTCCTCAGTCTTTCTTTGATTTATTAAAGTCAAAACTGCTTATCTTGAAGTTAAAAATATTTAAAAAATACCTATTTAATGATCGTAGTAAACTATATAGCACCAGCTAGGTGCTACCTTACAGTATATTCATTCACTCAGAGTTTCATGCTTAAAGTCAGACATGTGTTCACAGATATGTATATATCAGCTGAACTTACTATTAAAAGTAGTTAGATTATTTAAGAAATTTTGTGAATCAATAAAATGTGGGGAACAAAAGGAATAGAAAACAACTGTAGACACCAGAGATAGTGTGAGGGGAGTGCGGGAAATGGCAGAGGGTGAGAAATAGGGAGAAATATATATACATATATATCTATGAAACTAGAAATGGAAAACTGTTGATAACATGTATGATTAAGTTACGATGCAGTATATTCTGGATGGGAAATCACATTTTGTATGCTGTGACGATGTTCAGTGAATGAATATAAATGAATGAATTAATTAAAAATTAAAAAAAAGACAAACCACAATGAATTGTACCAAATCATTAAAGAGGAGTTCTCTATGATTACTTCTAGAAAATAGAGGCAGACAGAATCGTTCTTAATTCATTTGGTGAGGTCATCATTACTCAAGTCTAAAACTTAGTAAAAGCATTACAAAAAAGGACAATTACAGACCAATATCTCTCGGGAACAAGATGGAAGGGGTTGTAATAGTGGGTACAAGCAACTGAAAAGGAGTAGGAAGAATTGGGAAATTTGTTAAGAGATATAAGAGTGTTGGGTCAACAGGTGATGTGGTGGTTAAGGTGTTGGACTCCCACATGGCTGACTGCAGTTCGAGTCCTGGACCTGGTGGCTTGAAAATCACACTGGGCTTGTGTGTATGCATGCCCAAAATCCTGAGAGGAGAATGGAGGAGAAGGGAAGGGATTGTGGCATGACCTTTTCCTCAAGGTGGGGGGGTTGATTTCTCACTTTCTCTCTCTGTCTCTGTCAAGTGCATGTAACCCCATAGCAAAAAACCAAAAACCAAAAAACAAAGCTGTCTGAAAAATATTAATGAAATGTAAATGCTTTGTAGACAGTGTGTTCTGAACTTGACTACAGACTCTATTATAAGCCTTTGATAAGCAATATCACTTCCATAAGCTTCAAGTTCTTTATCCATAAAATCAGAATCACAATACCAATTTTACAAAGCTATTAAAAGCATTACATAAAAATGAATATAGATTGTCCTCCTGGGATTTGCATTGATCAGTGAAAATTTAAATACACTCTTTAGAAAATTTATTTTTATTTTAAAATTTTTATTTATGTTATTTTTCTTCTTCTTTTTTAAACATGCAATCGCTATACATCATTTGGCTTGTTAAGAGAATTTACCCAACATGAAAAACATCTCAGACGAGTCCAGTTGAGAATACGATACACATTATCATCAGTAGGTGATAAACCATTTCAGTGTCCCGCAAATGTCTTGCCTTTCTATTTTTTTCTCCCTGCTTTCTTTCTCTACACTCTTCCCTTCTCCCACCCTTCTTCCACACTGTCTCCAGCATCCATAACTATTTCGTTGCTTTTCTGCCCACCAGTCTTTCAGTCTCTACCATAAAGTGTGGACAGTCAATATTTATTAAGTGGAGACATACAATATCTTTCTTTCAAAGTCTTGCTTGCTGCACTCAGTAATAAACCCCTCTATATTCGGCCACTTTCTATCAAATGCCAGGGTCTTGTTTTTTTTTCATTTTTATTATTATTTTTAATGGCCGAATAGTATTCCATAGAGTATATGTGCCACACTTTTGAATATACTCTTCAACTCTAGACAGGTTCAGTTCCCCACGTCCCATCCCCATTTCAACTCTGTTATTTTCATCCTCAGCATCTCTCTATGGGTTGATATTAGTAATACTTTCCACAGACTAATCATGTTAGAGGACATCACCTGCTACTTTTTTTTAAAGGGAGAATTTTTTTATTTATTTTTTAGTTTTCTTTCGCTATAAAGCATGTGTGCTCACCAGAGAGAGACAGGGAGGAAAAGAGAAATCATCCCCTAGGGTGGATAACCACACTACAAACCTTCTCCATTCTCCTCTTGGGATATTGGGCATGCTTGCACATATTCCTGGCATGATTTTCAAGCCACTGCATCCAGGACTTGAATCCTAGAGTCGGTCATATGTGGGCCAGCTGCCTTAACCACCATGCTACTTGCTACCCCCATCACAAGCTATTAATCCTACACTGACTCCACGAATTTCAGAAAAAAAATCATCAATACAATAACCAAGATATAAGGTCCTTTTTATCCAACTGATGTCTACCTGACTCAAATCATATTTCACTTTTTATTACTGGCAAGATATTTGTAATTTCCTGAAAACATCTTATAGTTTTATTAATCCCCACAATTGTTTCTGTACTGCCTCTTACCTCTTCTTTACTGGAAGAACTTCATTCCCACTATAAGACCCAGTACAATTATAAACTTGTCTGTGAAGCCCCGAGTAACCTCCCAGGAAGAGTTAATTCCTTCTGGATCCACTTCCACAGGATTGAAGTGCTACCCCAGGAATGAAGCGCTACCTCAGAATACTGCTTTATTTATTTCTGAGTCTCTTTGACCTGTTTATTTATTTTAGGTTTTTGCCTTAGGGCGCATGTGCTCGCCAGAGAGAGATAGACAGGGAGAGGGAAAATGAGAAGTCATTCCCCATGGAGGATGGCCACACTGCAATCCCTTCTGCTCCACTCCCCTCCTGGGACTCTGGGCACACAGACACATGCACCTGGTGTCATTCTCGAGCTGCCAGGTCTGGGACTTGAACCGTAGTCAGCTATAGTGGGAGTCCAGTGCCTCAACCACCATGTCATCCACTAGCCTCTCTCTTTTTTCTGTTTAAACTGTGAGCTTCTCAAGAGAAGATGCAATGTCCTACTTTTTCCTTCCACCCCAGGACCCAGTTTGGTGCCTATCATGTGGTAATTACAGAATAAATATTTGTAGGAACACCAAAAGGATACACAGTGGAATAAAATTAGACAGACACTATCATCAATGAGGAAGAAAAAACACTGTGAAATAAGAGAAAATTCCATTCACAGGGGGAGAATGTATGGCTGAGAACCAAAACCCAAGAAAGCGGAGTGAAGGAAAATATGTTAGCGTAATCCAAATCTCTCCCCACAATCAAGGAGAGTAACATGGTAAAGTTTATATTATTAACTTTAAAAAATGTTTATTTTGATTAACGAATCATTATTATTATTAAAAAACATTTGCCATAAGGCACATGTGCTTGAGAAAGAGAGAGAGAGAGAGAGAGAGAGAGAGAGTGAGAGAGAGAGGAGAGAGAAAGCCACCAGGTCCTGGACTTGAACTGTGGTTGGCTATGTGGGAGTCCAACACCTTAACCAACATGTCACCTACTGGCCCCTATATTATTAAATTCTTAAAATATATTTTTCCCTGTTGCTCCTTCTAGATCTACTACCAATATAAGGGTATCTCATATCCCCTACACCTCTGAAGATGCCATAGCTCACCCAGGTATTATTGGGAACTGTCTGAGTTTACCGATCTGATTTCTTCCTTGACTGATGAATGAAATGGAAAGCTCTGTCCGCAGGAAGAGTAGGAAGACGGGACCACTCATGAGGCTTCTGGAAGACACGACTAGGTTTCCTCATCACTTGGAATTAGTAGAGTTGAGAGTGGGGAGCAGGAGCATTTAGAGTTTCTGTATCTTTTAGGGGTTGTAGTCCCATGAGCTCCATTAAAGAAATATTCTTTTGTCTTTTGTCTGTGCTCCCTGAGAGAGGCCATCCTCT